TTGAGGGGTGCCTAACACCTTCCCCTCGGTCAACAGAATTTCTTACCCGGATTTTTGGTTAGCAGACCAATAAAAAATAGAGTCAAATTTCCTTTTGATTAGAGATTTAAATAAGGTGACTTGGAACACCAAAACTCAATTTCAAGTGGCGATAATTATCCCTTTTCAAAATGTCACTTTAATTGGAAAAATTCTTCTTTCTTTTCAAAAAATAAAAAAAAAATTGAAATATTTGAGAGAATAAAAAGGGGCGTGACATTGATATTTGGGACTTTAAATTCATTTTATTTTTAATCATTAATATTTTTCTAACTGATAGTCTCTCTCGCAAAGTTCAATTGAAATTTCTCGTCAAACTCCACCACTACTTTTACCTTTTCGTCTCAAAAAGCTTAGTTTCAATTTTCATATGTTATTTTTTTAAGAAGTTTTTTCTCTTTTACTTTCATTTTATTTGTTGGATTATTCAATATTTATATATCAAAATTTTCAATATCAGACTTAGTTAAAGAAGAGGAATGTGTTGAAATGGTGGAAAAAGAAAATTAAATATGACTAAAAAAGAACTTTAAGTACAAAATGAAAGTGAAAGAAATATTGATTATGAAAATTATTTAATTAATCAAACAAATCTAAATTATTAGATTATTTAAATTACACATATCAAAATATTAAAAGGATAACGAAGAAACTGAACCGATAATGTACCGGAGAGCAGCTTCATCGGTAGAGTAGTACTCTACTTTTTACTTTTTTATTTGAAAAGGTGTGTTTTTTCTGAAAGAACAAGGCAAGATTGACAGTACACACCAAAAGCCCATAATTCCAAAGATAGAACATATAAAATAAATTGTACAAAAATTACAAAACAAGCCTAAAGTACAATATATTTGATAAATAAAAGTCAACACAACCAAATAAACTTTCCCTAAAAGCATATACAGCCAAGAAATTTTTAAAAAAAAACGTTGTGACACGTCTATTTGTTCACCACCAAACAATGTAACAAACAAACATTCCGTTAAATCTTACATTTATAACATATAAAAACCAGAAATAGATGCAACTAAAATAAGAAAAAAAAATAATCACCGCAATCAATTCAAAACGTCGAATTTTTAAATTTTTCAGAGTGGCTAATAAAATCGCTTGAGCGGAGGAATGATATATATTTAGAAAGTAACACTGCTATATTACTGAATGAACTCTTACATTTCAAATCAAGGCGCACAACTTAAGAGTTGCCCAGAACTTTTAAATACTAGTAATTAATTAAGAAGCATATAATATAAAATTAGTACATTAGGTCAGCCTGCAAGATGTAGTACAAAGCTTTAAGCATTTTGCAGCTTGGCTGCAAAAATACTGAGAAGATCTGGATACTGAAATATGTCTCCCATTATGTTGTCTCCTGGTGCTACCTGAAGATTTCCTGGAAAATAATCCACTGGAAATGATGACAATGACGATGATAATAATCCAAAATCACTGTTTAAACCACCATTATTAATCTGCTCCTGTTGTTGCGGTTGTTGAGAGAAAATATTGCAAAATTCGTAATTAGGTAATGATGATGGTACAGATTTAATGGGCTTGGGCTTTGGGAAAAAACCATTTAAAGCCTCTTCTAATAATCCAGAATCAGATGACTCAGATGGGAAAAAATCCATCCCTGCAGCAGAATCATCATTTGCGGTAGCACCACTACTACTGTTATTGTTGTTGATAGTACAGTGGACAGTGTTATCGAATTTGGGGACCTGAGTAGTCATGACAGAAGAACTGGGAATCACGGGGTTGCTGCTATTAGGCAAATACGAACCGAAGCTGTTGGTATTACGATTCATCGTGAAATTCGGCAGCTGTTCGTACAAATTAGGCATGTTCATACTACTAGTCACGTTCAAATTATTAGTATTGTTGCTGGAATTTGAACTCAGGAGTTCACGAAACAGGAGCATATTCAAAGAATCATTGCTTTTCTGACCAATCACATGAGCACGCCCCGTAGAACCATAAGGACTGGAGGAATGAAAAAAGGGTCTATTAGACAAATCCTTAAGAGTATTAGAACTCTGATGATAGTAAGGCGATGTTAATTTATAAGACGAATGAATATTAAACAAAGCGTCATTGGTAGAAGTGGGTTGGGTAGGAGTAGGACAAGGTGGGTAGACGAAATTAGTACGTGCTTTAACACCGCGCATTGCTCTAGCAGCGCAATCATAAGCACAAGCAGCTTCTTCAGCGGTATCAAAAGTACCGAGCCACCTTCTTTCTTTTGATTGAGGGTCACGAATTTCAGCTGCATAACGTCCCCAAGGACGACGACGAACTCCGCGGTATCGCACCGCGGAGGGACCAGTAGCAGTATCTTTGAGTGATCTTTTGTTTGATGAACAAGAAGATCTAGTTTTATTAACAGTGGAAGAGTTTGTAGTGTTTTGGAGTGGAACATCAGTTTCTTGATTAAGTCTTCTCATTGCATCTTCCATTTTCGTTTTTGTAAATATGAAAAAGAATATTTGGTGGAGATTTTTTTTTCTTTTTCTTCTTAGGACGAAGTAGTTTGTGCAGGAGAGAATGTATGTAGTAGGGATTTTGAGGTTGTATTTATAATGGTATTTGTGTTGTAGTTGCATCAATAAAGAAGAATTTACGCGTTGCACGGGCATTAAATAGAAAGTAAATACTCTACAGCTAGTACTACAAAGCATCTCAACACACACTAACTAGAATTTTTTTTTTTATAATCTTAGCGATCAAATAAGTTTTCTCTCGCATCTTAACTAATTACACAAGTTAATTGTCACTTTTCAAAAATAATAAGCTAATTCTGTTCATCAAAGGTTCCGCACATAAAAATATAATTACGTAGTCTTCAATGTGTTTTGAATATAAAATTTCAGAGTTTAATAATTACTGCATTGATCAATAGTCCGAAGTTATTTTCAAATATAATTTTGCACTCATTTTGATTGAATCAATTCATTGTAAAAGTAGGTACATAACGAATAATAGATTTTCACTAATAGTAAAGCTTTATAATTTGTTCATATGAAACAATAATATTTTTTTTTATTATTTCTTAATCCAAATATTTGTGTAGGATAGCTATACTGAACAACTCTTATAGTAAGAAATTTGAATAAGAAAATAGTAACTTAAGAAATTTCAAAGAGTAAATAGTTACTAAGAAATTTCAATAAGAAAATAGTAACTTTTTAGTAGTGGCGATATTTTATTTTTCCTTTTCTAATTTGATTTAAATTGCCTTTACATATATGAGATGACTTATAGTGTAATAAATGTCTAATTGTAAATTCAAAGTTTATCAATCAGTGCTCGTATTCAATAACTTTTACTTATAATTACCAAAAATATGATTTTACATCACGAGTCAATGTTATTTAAATTCAATTTCACTTTATATGAGAGTATTTGATGGAATACAAACTTTCAATTTTTTTTAACTTTGATGTATATTAATTATTATGAATTATAGTAGCATTAAATAGTAAGTTAAATAGTTGTTTGATAAAGAAAATTAAAGGAATAACATTTCAAAATTTGAAAATAAAAGTAGTACGTCTAATGAATTTAATTTCTTAAAGTTTACTCACTTTCATTTCAAAATACTTTTTACAACTACTAATATTTTAATTGTAATGATAGATGAATAATGTAACCAAAAAAAAAAAACTAGTCATTTGAAAATAAGGTGCCTACAAACGATGTCGTTGCATATATTTGATAATACATTATCATCCAAATTCTATACGATGCTCCTGTTTATTTCTCATTAATTAGAAGAATAAATGTTGCAACTACCATTTTCAATTACTATATTATCTCCAACATAATGTATTTAATTTGTCAATCTAGCGTCGTGATGAAATTTTTCTCATATAATAATAAGGTGTGAGTTTTTTTTTCCTTCCTTTGATGCTAATATATTTCATTGTATTCTAAAAAGACCTGGTATTTTCTTTAAGCTAAGTTCTTAATTTATTTTTGAAAAGGAGGAATGAACATAACATTATCATACAAACTTGATAATTATTACTAAGTTTGTACTTTAATAATTTAAAAGTTGAAACGAAAACCAATTAATTGAACACGATTGAAGCATAATTAAGTGGTGTAGAAATTGATACATACATACTCATAATTAGTAATAATGGTTGAACGACGTTCCAAGAAATTAGTTGGGGGAATATGACAGCTAAAAGCGTGATCATGCAGTAAAAGCCTTTCATCTATTTCCAACACCATTATCATCTCCGTTCAGAGTAAAAATTTTAACTAACATTTTATTATAATATATTTTTTCATATGTTAATATGTAAAATATTATAATTTATATCATTTTTCGTATAATTTATGAATATATAAATATTTTATTTAAAATATCAAATTAATTCTCAAAAACCATAACATAGTCAATAAAAGTTAAAGAAGAAAATATATACAATAGTACAAAAGAAGAGATAGAGAAAATAATTGTTGCATCAAATATTTCGTACTTACGGTGTATTCAAAGAAGCGTTGTGTTTCATTAGTTAATGAATGATTTTTTACAGTTTAATCGTTGGACCTTGATTACACCTAACCAATTTTATTACTGTATTACTCTGAGGACGCATTTGATCGAAGAATAAATTATATTGAGATTATTGTTTCGTGAATAATTATTTTATGATTGTTATTAACTTATTAATTTATGATAATTAATTTTGGAATAAGTTAACTTGTAATTTTATCCAATTAAACATAATAAATTTATCCTAAAAAAATAATTTCGAAATTAGTTATATCTTATCATACATATCAAAACGAGTTTTCAAATAACAAGAAACCACATTAATTTATTTTTATTTTTAAAAAAGTTAGGTATTAATTAATGAATGAACTATTTACACATTAATCTCCACGCGGATGAGATAAAATGGTGTGGCAAAGATGGAAATTTGTGGGAATGGAAAACAGAAGTTTATGAAAAATCAAAATAGATTTTTTTTTTTTTGAAATCCTTTGATAGTAATTTTATTTTTTTAGCAACTAGAAATAATAAAAAATTAGCATTAAGCATAGTATACTTGTGTTTTCACAATTTGAAATAGAAACAATTATATTTTAATTAAGATTTCAGTCTAAATATTTCCATTTTCACGTACGAAACATGTAGTATATTTATGACGTTCTTAAATATTATTATTGAATGGCATTAACTCTAGAGCGTTTGCCTCAAAGTAATTGGCACATTCTTTCTTAAATTATTTTTGGATTATTTACATTTCAAGATAATAATAACCAAAAAAAATGTACACAAATTAATATTATTGAACCAGGATTTATCCTACATAAATGTATACAAATTAAATTCAAACAAAAATTAATTATCACATCTTTTTAGTTCGTTCATTCCAAAAAAAATATATATATCTTGGCAAATCTATAATCATATCATTTTTATTACTCTATGATTATATTATTATTGCGCCCCATTGATCAACACTTTATAAGTACGTTGGTAACAAACATATCAAAATCTTTTTATAAATTTTTAAGATTTGATACCCGATCATGCAATGTCATATTTTTTAATTTTCTATTTAATATATATCCTATATAGTAAATTTAAATCGGATATTTATCGTATCGAAAATACCACACCAAACAAGAGAGAAGGGGTCAGCATCAGAATGTCCAAATCCAACATAAAAGCAAATAGTCGGGATTTACGGGCAAGAGGATATATAAGATGACAGACTAATTTTTTTTTATTAAAAAAAAGTTAAATATTTTTATTATTTTTTTTAGAAAAAAGGAAGATTTAATTTTATGGGGAAGTTGAAAAGCTTTTTTTTCAACACAATATCCCTGTGAATGATTACACTGGCGGCGTTCAGAATTTGTTCCTCCTACTATAGTTTTTTTACTTTTAATGGTTCATTTATATACAGAAAAATGAAGCTAAATTTATTTATTTTTTCCTATTATATACAGGTAATGTTCCCTGCTTTTTTGTTTTTTAAGTTATTATTTGTAATTTTTTTTAGGGTTTGAAAACCAAGAGTTCATGTTCACATGCCATTGTCTCAAACTATAGGTTTTTTATAGCTAGGGTCTTTATATAAGGCTGGTGGATGTAACCTAAAGTTTTAATCAGTAAAAATAATGGAACTTTGTCTACTTTAAAAAGTACCACTTGAATTTAAAAAACTAATATATATATATTTCAACATGTTTGGTGTTCTTTGAATTTTTTGAGTGAGAAATAACTTTTCTCACTTAGAAAAATACTTTTTTAGTTTGCGAAAAAAATCGATATGATATATTATCGAAATTATTTATATTTATTGCGTTTGAAATTAATTAGTTAAGTGTATGCATCAGGTTCAAGCTAAAAATTACCATTTATATCCAAGCTAATTGAAATTGGATTAGAGATAATTATGAGATTATTTTCTTTGTGTATTTTTGAGGCTTTTTTAATTTTATTTTTTCTATTTGAAGAAGAGAGTAGGAAGAAATGGTATACAAAGTATCTACCGTCGTATAATAAATAAATTTGAAGTGCAATTATTTCTGTCCATAAGCTAGAAAATTTAAAAGTTCCTTGTAATAACAATGAATTGAATTATTGGTTTTAATTAAAAGCATCAATTTATAAGTTAGGTTTATGACATAACGCAAGGCAGTCCAAAAATTTTATGAAGTCTTCCCTCGTGTCTAAAAGATAGAGGGGTGTATGCGCATCCCTATCTTCATGAAAAATGTAATAACTTTTTTAATTTCAGTAAATTGTAATTAAATATATTTTTTGAGGCTTTGAGTAAGTTTTTATTTTAGACTTATTGATATGATCGAATCGGAAAAAAAAGTGTTCTAAGGTATTTCAACATATAAAAATGTAAAATTATAAATTTTTTATTAGTAAATTGCAATTGCGAGATCAAATCATAACCACAAAAGGAAAATAGAGGGTTTATAAGTCAAGAAAATTTTTCTCCAAAGATCATAAAGGTTAAAGAAAAGACTCATAAGGAATAATGTTTTTTCTAATACTTGATCAATTTGTATTCCCCTTATGGCTCCAATCGTATTGCATGAATTGGAAGAGCATTTGGAAGATTTGTTGGATAAAAGATTTGTTCATTCGAGTATTTTATCTTGAAATACTTCGAGTTTTTTTATTTGAAAGAAGAATGAACCAATTATTAGAATGTGTGTGCATTTATCGCCAACTTAATAAGGTTATTATTATTATTATTATTATTGGTGGAATAAAGTTATTATTAAAAATACACACTTATAAAAAACATTTCTAAGATGAGAGTCAATATCAACACGACTCGTCGGTTTATAGGCCTTACTCGATGTCAAATTGACAAATAAAGAATTTTTTTAAAATATTTCAAAAAGAAAATACGATGGACAAAATAGATTTTTTGATTTTTGCCTTTGATTTTTTTTCATAGAATCAACGGACAAAACAGATTCTGACCGTCAATTTTAGTTCTTAAAAGATAACTACAAAATTAAAATCACTTCAATATACAACAATAACCAACATTAATTAATATCAAATCAATTCTAGATCACTTGCAACACCAGTATTATACTAATTATTGATAGAAACATCAAATTCAACATTAAAAATCATTAAAAGAATCCACCAAAATTAAAAACTACAAATTTTACTTCTAACAATTTATACCTATTCAAGTTGTGCATCGATCGGTCTGGTTCAGAAATTTATCGATTTGATTTATTAATTATCGATTTGTATAGATGTTAAATCATTATCGAATCATTAAGATATTAACTTATTGGTTATTGATTTATCGATT